ATTAGTAATATTTTAGCTTTTCTTGATAGCTTAACAGGAATTAAGTATCCCTTGAAATTGTACTAGAAGTCAATATGCCTGGATATCGAGCAATGCGAACAGCGGTAATCGTTCGTTACTTAACTGCTAAATTGTTTTTGTTTGCTTAAAATTTTACAGTTTTTAAGTTTTGAGAAAAAGTCAAAATTTTTGTTTCTAATGCTCTAAAAAGCACGAAAAGCTCGTCTTCGTGCTCTAAAATTCTCGTGCAATGAGCTCGGTGCTTAAATGATCGACCTGCTCGTGAATACTCGAACACATTTTTACGCTCTAAATTGTACTCTATATATGTATATATATTGAAGTACGCATAGCATGGGTATCATAAAGTTATGCAGTGAAATTCTAGCGAGGTTCTTTCTATTTTCGTAATCAATGCAATACAACCTAAAAAGTTGCTTTGCTTCGGATAGATAACTTTATAGTCCAGAGACTAGATTTAGTTGGCATTGCTGAACGAATTCGTGCGAAAATTTCAAAAGTTCTCTAAAATTAATTATTAAAACCTACACCAATCAGCACAGTCTGTTGCCTTAAAGCTACGAATGGAAATTTTTCTAAAAATTCTCATTTTGTTCAATTGAAATTCCTTATGCGCTCAATATAAGCAATGACCAATTAAATATTTTTTTACGTGCATGGTTTCATAAGTCAGAGACTTTTTGAATTAAAAATATTTTTTTCGATAAACCAATATCTTAGTACTCAACATAGTCTCCTTTTAGTTCTCTTTATGTTTAATTACAGCGTTTCAAAAATTTGTGTATTACTTCCAGATAACATTTTTTTTTTTTTTTTTTTTTTTTTTTTTTGAAAATACTCAAAATAAGCTCATGTTTCGTGCCTCCTCATTCGAACCGAATCTCTTACCACCTCGGTTTTCTTGAGGTTTGAAAACAAGAAATAGTCGTGGAGGGCAAAATCTTCAGAATATGCTGGATCAAGTAGCAGTCCATAGTCCATTTTATGAATTCTTGCCATGTTGAGCTCAGCAGCATATTTTTCCGATTTTCTCTTTTTTTTGTCAAAAGCAGTTTTTCCTGCTTTAAATCAATAAGGAATCTGTGTAACAGCTCAGAACTATATTTTCTGGAGCTTGTAAACAATTTCGGAGGCAATCGATGTGAATAACTTTTCGTGTATCCTAAAAGCTGTTGTGGTACATGTTCACCTGAGAAAAATCCTGTTTTTTTGGCTGCTTTCTGATCTCTGGTATAATGTGATGGATCCAGTTCTGTCTATGTTGACAAAAACCGTGTAGAAAACGGTAACAAATTTTAAACTCTTAGATTTATGCTCCTATAAACAATGACTTCTTACTCCAAACCCCTTGAGCTCTTCAAGCTTTCATTAGCTTCACTACAAGATACAATAAATTTAAATTACAAAAACAAAACCAACATGTAAACCAACCGAATCTTCGACTCAGCCTGTGCTGGCCATCAGTATTCTCAAACAATTTCGAAATGCTACCTGTCGACTGACTTATTGACTGCAAACTTTAGCAACATTAACTGAAAAACACAACAAATCCTGGGGGGCACCAACGAGTGAGCACGGCAGAGATAGAGACAGAATATGCAAAGAAAAGTGAGAGCAATAAAAAAAGAAAACAAAAACAAAAACAAAATGGTGCGCAGCCAACTGTAGGCATAATGTCAGTGTCAGTGACAGCTTTGCATGAAAGCAACTGAAAACTCATATTGCCAGCAACAACAACAACAGCAGCAGCAACAACAACTCCATAACAATGCTAGCAAGCAAACATGTCCGACATCGAGCCTTTTGCAATGAGCTTTTGTGTTGCGCACTTAATTGCGATGACTTGCAAACACGAACAACAACAAATATAATAACAAAAAGTGTAAGCAGCAATTGCCGGTGAACTTTTTATTTTCCACATGACCGAAGGCATAGCATGAGAAAGTGAGCAGGGGCAACCCTTACAACACAGCAATAAACTTTTAAATTTCAATTCACTGAATTTTAACGAGTGTCGTTTTTCGGAAGCAAAATTTAACTTACTTTTATCGTTGTCAACTTATGTGCAGTAGTAATTGGTGCTTTTTCTTTTAGTTTCCTGGTTTTGAATTGCGATAACCGACAACCTGGGCGGACAACTCATCACTTGTACGCGCTGCACTGCGGCAATTCGCATGACAGCTGAGTTGCTTTGAAAAGTATCCAGTTGGCAGTTATTAAACAGTTAAAGTGTATTTTATTTGTTAAGTTTTTGTATATGCAATTTAACTACTTTTTAGAATTTCTTTATTTTCAAAAGCCAATTTTAAATTTCTTTAAATGTAAAAAATCGCATATTTTCCGCTTTTCACCACAGTATTCTCATTCATCATCACCGCTGCCACCTTCGCTTCTCAGATTTGCCCATATTGTTTTGTCGTTTTCTCACAAAAAATATTGAGATAAACATATATATCGATCGATTTATCCAAAGGAATCATTAAGTTCATTGAAGTGGCAATAACGCATCCACCCAGAACCACTCAAATTAAGCGGCAAAGTAGTTTGGGTGAAAGCACCCAAGGCGTGTTTTAAATTTCATTTGGATTTTGTTGGATTAAAAATTAAAGTAGAAGTAAGCCAAAGGATATATCAGTATTTTAAGTTCCGTTATGAAATATAAAAAAGTTTTTTATTTTAATTAATTATCGTTAAACACTTGTAGAGAAAAAAAGCGCCATATATATATCTATAAATCGTTTTAAAAAATCCGCATATCCCTTTTCAATTTTTTTCTGTGGCTCCTAGAAAGCATTGTGATAAAGCTCTCTAAGCTAGAGGGAGGGTAGGTGGAAGAGGATTTTAAACAGTAAGAATGATGTTAATATATGTGTGTGACTTTCGGCTCTTAAGGGGTTTCATCCACTTATAATTTTCGAAAATTAATTAAAATAAATAAATTAAAATAAATTTTTCGAATGCAGTTATATTTGAGAATATTTTCCGAAAATCTGAAGTTGATCAGATAAAAAGTCTCGGAGATATGGTCACATCATTAAGAACGTCTCGTGTCGTTCGAGAATGGGCGAAGCGCAAGGCGGAGTAGTTGATTTTAGCTTAAAATGCGATTTCCTCGAAACTCTGTTATCAGAGCCGGTGAGGAAAATTTCCACAATGCGACTGAACCGATAGGCTTAGAAGTTTCACACGGCCTTTTAAGACATATTTGTTAGGCGATGATCGAAGAAAGGTGATGATATAATTTTTTACAATAATTTTTTAAACCACTTTGAACTGTAGAATTTCTTACAACAAAATTAATTTTTTCTTTAACCGTCATTTTGACAAAAAAAAAATTACTATTTCTGTATTCACTACCTGTATTCATCTATTGTTATAGGCATTTTTTTCTTGATTTTCGGGTTTCAGATAATTTGAAGCAGAAAGTTCTTCCCCAACGCCAGACATCTCTTTTTGGAGGCTTTCTGTTAAACTGCATTAAATTCTATCTATTAACATTTCTTTTATTAATTTATAGTATAAAAAACCACCAAAAAAAGCAAATAAAAGCATTTATCTTGTTTGGCAAATAGATATAACCCCTTTAGGGAGTTTTGTGCTATGCATTTATTGGATGGAGTCTGGGCTACGGCTGATAAATTCGCCGATGGTGCTGAGTGACCATTCCATTTGTTATGAGGGAATATATTTGAGCGCTGAGGCTGTTTACAAATGGTGGAACGAGGGTAGTTTTGCACGCTAAATTTTCATCACTCAGCAACTGGCATGTTGTAGCAGTTTCGGATGTTGTTAAGCTTCTAGGCAAGCCTATCGCAATTCTTGGACGGCGAGGCTGCCAGCCTTCAAACCATCAACCAGCTGAGCGGTGGTATTATTCCAGGTGCATACCTCATATCGTAATCATTATAACAATTATGGGTGTCTTCAGCATTGATTTTCCGTTGGAATATATCTTTCATATGGTGGCACCCAAACCCACTCATCCGCCCTCCTAAGGTATAATGGTTGGCAATACAGAGAACACTTGCTGTCAGAGCGGTGGTCATGTGCTGCTTGAAGCTTATCTAATAGAACCGTTTCAGATCAGGTGAAAAACTAACCCCTCCTCATTCACCAATATCAGCATATAAAAATATTCAATATAGAATCTATATTTATAAAGAAAAGTGTAAAATATAGAAAAATTATTTATTTCTAACAATAAACATAAACACAAATGAAGCGCTAAAATTTATTAATAAAAATGCAATAAAAATTGAACAGTAAAAAAATTGCGCAGAATATTGTAATTGAAATTTTCTGTCATCATTTTCGCGGGATTTACATAATTTAAAATTATATTATTGTAATGTATGCCACTGTACATATATCTATATATATATGCAACGAAAGAAAATCATAAAATATTAACGACCGTGTTCAATTATAGTTATGAGCGCGCGCAAATTATTGCAATCATACACACATACACACACTTTTACATCCATACACACACACATGCATACACTTGCAGCCAGCGCCGCTTGCTGCATTTGGGTTTTTCGGGTGTCAAGTGTGGGTAGCGCTGGCGGATGAGTAACACAAGAAATTGCTTAGGTAATTCGTTACGTTTACAAATTTTTTCAAATTTATGAGCAACACATAAATAATAGCGCATTATGAGCTGTCGGCGACTTGCACTAAACTGTCTGTCATTAATGTCTCACAATGATATAATGAGGAGGTTAAATGATGATTATATGGGGAAAATTAAAAAAAAATTTAGAACGATTGTAAGAGCACTGTCAAATTACAATATATTTTGCTTTGGCAAATTAAAAAAAAATTGTGTAAATGTGTTTGAATTAATTTCAAATATTTTCCATCGTTGGAGTGGCAGCGGCAAAAACTTCTCGTTGCAATTAATTATTCAGATAATTAATAGAAAAATTTTAAATATGTATTTTTGGAATTTTTTTCGCTTACCTTTAGCGCCGCAGTCACATAAATATTTTACATATGTAGGCTTATAGAGAAATATCCTCTGGTAATATGGCGCTGTTGTTTTGAATATTTATTAAATTTTTCGCTTTATGTATATGCAGTTGATTTACTTGTGATCAACGCTTTGTTTTTTTTCAACTTTTAACACTTTTCAGTTGTAGGAACTAAACACATTACGCACACAGATTGCAAGAACTCGCTTTACAAATTTTGTTAAAATATTTATATTAAAATATGTATATTTATTTATTATTATTTTTCTTTTTAATTTTTAATTTTTCATGCAATTTTAATAAAAATTTTACTTCAAGCTTGGCACTTTATGTATTTTAATTTTCATTTGTTTTAAGCTGCTTAAAATATGTTTTTTTATATGCATTTAATATTTATTATGTTGGAATTAACAATTTTTCAAAATTTTTTATTTTAATTTATTTTTACTTATTTTTAGAAATTTTTAGACTTTTTTTGTTTGCACTTTAACACTTTTTGCACAGTTTAAGTGACTTTTTTCAAATTCATATGTATATTTTCACTGTAAAATACACGAAAAAAATTTTGTATCGAAACTTTTTTGCACTTAAATAATTTGCGTTTCTCAACTGCTTTGATCTGAAATTAATTCGATTAAATTTATATATGATATATATATTTTTTATTTTTTAGAAATTACTGCGTGCTTAATTTAGCAGCCTGAATTTTCTGTGCTGATTTTGAGCGGATTTTACATTGGTGTAAGCTGCTTTTCACACCTTTTGGAATTTTTTATTTTTATTTTTATTTTTTTATTTTTTATCTTTTTTTCGTATTTTTGCGCTTTTGAGTTTTGTTATTGCTTCATATGTATGTATATCTTAAGACTTTAGATACTTTTTCACCTGCTCAAATGTCACTGTGTAAACATTTATTATTCACTTGAAGAAAGCAAAAGCAACAAAGCCAAGGTAGCTGCTTTTGGAGCTAAAAGAAAATAAAAATAAAATAAATACTCGCTCATACACACATATATGTATGTGCGTAGTTATTTTTCAGAAATTATTTGCTCAACTCATTTTAATATTTGCTTATTATTTATTTACTTAGCTGTCATCAGTTTTTTTCTTTCATTTCTATTCTTTTCTTTTTTTTTGCCTCTCTTCACCACTTACATTTATTGTATACACACAGACAAAAAAAAATATGTGTACATATATAACGTAAATTTAAATTTCGCAAGCAAATACATTATCTCTTATATGTAAATGCCACGCTTTACTCAATAAATATATTTATCAGCATTCTCATATTTGTTTATATGTATGTACATATGTATAAGCACATAACAGAGCTGTAGGTTTTGAATATTTTTCAATTAATCCTGTTCCGCACATTTTACCATTTTAACAGTCTCTTTAGCAATATTCTCTTCCACCTCCTCCCACACTACTACTACTACTACTACTACTTCTTTTTCTTCTTCTTCTTCTTGCTCTTAGCCAATAAATAAATTATGACGAATGGTTAAGCAAAGGTAATACAGTGCATGGCATGGCTAGGACCAACAGGACTTAAGAGTGAGTATATAACAGTTATTACAAGCAGTAGAGTGCGGCAGTGAGAGTGAGACAAAGCGAGCAGTGAGCAGCAGCAACTTATGCAAGCGTAAAAAAATTCTTGCCAGTTGAATTCACAACAACAAACGTGTATTTTTGCTTTAATGGCACATGGTACATATATACACACACGCATATATATATATATATATATATATATATATATATATGTATTTAATCTTTTATGTATTTATATGTAAATACCTGTAGTTAAGTGCGCTTGAACGCAACCACACGCAAAGGCAAAGTAATATATTAATAACCATATATATCATACATACATACATTTATATTTTGGTTTGAATTATACACTTGTCTATGTTATATATGTATGTACATATGGATTGTGATTTGTATTGTTTAGTTGGTGTAAAATAAACTTTTAGTAGAAACCGGAAATAATACTTCGGTACGGCAAAAATGATAAATGCAGAAAGTTATTATGAAATTGTCTATTTTTAGAAATTTATTTATTTATTACCAAGTGGCCAGAATTTATTTTATTACATTTGCTGCAAGCAGCGCACGAATTCCGGTGTGAGAGCAAGTGTCCTCTGGTTGGCCTATAAAATATTCATTTCGAGGTGAGCTAAAGTGGGAAGACGAATCATCCTGCAGTTTGAGGCCCACCATACACGCCAATGAAAAATTATATACCCAAGGCTCGGTTGGTCCCTTCATTTGGAAAAGTGCTATTGCCAAGCTGATTCATGTCTGCGTAAGAATAACATCACCGCCGTCTAGAAAGTGCAATGAACGTGACATGAATAGCAGTGGATACGAATAAGGGAACGCATATTTGGTGTTGGATTTGTAGTTGTAGAGAGACTCTTTCGCCAAGTACAGGCTGGCATTAATTTCGGCCGATGAATGTCTCACAACAAACCGCATAAAATAAAGATTAGTAAGCAGGAGTTACACCGCCACAAGTGGTCTATTGTGCCTACCGATTTCTTCACATTATATCAATCAGACGCAATGCCCTAATCCTTATAAAAGCAAAGTTCAATAGAATATCGCTGATTGGCGCCTACGGAAATGTCACCGGTATAATATAAGAACTGCGCTTTGTGACAGTCTGGTCTGCAATCGACAAAATCAGCATCCACGAAAAAAAATCTCCCCAAACTGTGCTGAGGTAAACTGGCTTTTCCGAGGTCCGAAATATTGTTGCTCATTATCGTAGAAAACATTTCAGAAAAATCATCAATATATAGGGTGTGAAGTTAAATCACCAATTCGGTTCACCATTTCATAACAGCAAAGTTACACCCCTCTTTGTACGCTTCTGTGCGCCTCAACCTGCTAAAGGAAGATTCGACTTCGAAAAGCTGCAATCTCTCGTCACTTCGATATAAGGAACTCTAGAAGAGCCTTTCAGGCTCTCTACGTACTACCGCTAGTGAAACAATTAGTTCATGAAAGAGTTAGAAAAAGAACTGGTACGATGAAGATGATCGCACCTCAATCGACATCAAAGCGTAACCGAAAGTTGAAAACGAAGAAGTGTGGTAGCTTACAGAAGCTAACACGTTCGGTGACACAAAGAGGTGATAATGTGTTTAGTTTATAAAGAAAATACTTCTCTTGACTGCTTAGTGGCAGTGAATGTGAAACACCAGGTGAGGACGAGCTCTAATTACCAATCGATGATGATGGAGCAAATGTTTTAATATTCAAACACAAAAATGTCCGAATAGCAATTGGCAGCCTGAAAACCAACAAAGCGCCGAATGTCAACGGTTTAGCGGTTACGTTATTCAAATCGCACATTAGGTCTAAACAATTGCTAGTAGGCACATGTACTTAGACTGACCTAAACAACCACGTCGTTAGTTCTGCTTTCAACATGCAGTATTTAGTTGTCAGGCAAATGGGGGTAATAGAACGACGAGAAGAAGACAAAATATTTCCTCTTATCTAACAAGCATTCGACGTATGCACGTATTGGCTGCCACGTTCATGTTGGCACATGAGACTAGCTCCAAAAGTCGCTCGTCATTTCCGTTCTGCTGTATGGTATAGAGGAGAGTACGATGACTGCATGCGAGAAACCGGTATTAGGAAGTAGCGAGCACCACACACGATTGAACGGGAATCTGAGCGAGCAGTATGGCGACATTGACAAAGTTCAGTGGGTTTGGAGATATTGGCTACGTTGGCTGCATCTGTCGACCGAGAGGCTGGAAAGCTCAGTCACAGAAGGACTTGACTTAACCTTTTATCTTTTATGCGCGTTTGGAGGTTATAAAGTCAATCGTTTCTATGACAATAAAGAAGATGATTGGGGAATGAATGAAAACATAACATTTCAAGCCACTGTAATTATTATATTTCCTTTTGAAACATATGATTTTAATCTTTTGTATCATTTTTAATATTTTCTTCTAAAATTTCTACTTATATATTTATATTATCACACATATATACATACATATGTAGTTATTTCACGAACAATTAGCTTACTTTATAAGATGCTGAAATTCTACGCGAAATTTTAATTAAATTACTGTCACTATGTATTTTTATTATTTAATATTATGAAATTAAAAATAGTGGCATGACAAAGAAATACAATAAAATTTTGTAGAAAAAAAATTACTACAACAAAATACTAAGAAACACACAAAGTAGAATTTTCTAGCAATTTAATTGGCACGCCACCACAAAATCGCCGCAAGCGTTAACATACCTGTGTGAATGTAATTAATTTAATTTTTTCACATTAAACTCTTATGAATATGTATGATATAAATATATATTTTTTTTTGTAGCATTGCAAAAGTTCATTTTACATTTTTCTACTTTTAAGTGTCACAATCATGATTTAAGAATTTGCAAAAAATGCCAACTACATACCTACACACGTAATATTGTGAACATACTATACTCTACTAAATGCGATATCTTAGCTCTTCTAGCTTGTCACTCACTTATTCACTCACCGGCCCGCTATTACCTTAGCCATTAGTCAGTTGTACTATCTGTTGGCCCATTTAGTTTTTCATCATTACTTCTACCATATATTTGTATGTATGTGTCGTCATTTTAAAAATACTGCCAGCATGCGTACTCTTCTAGAAATACATATGTATGTGCATATGTATAAACCAAAAATAGGTATGCCAAAAGCTACGCATTGCGCTTGCCAAAATATGGATTAGTTGTCATACGAAGGTAGAGCAGCGTCAAAATCATTTGCTAAAATTTTATTACCTTGTTTTTTTTTATTTTTTTTTTAATTTATTTTTTAGGTTTTGTTATTTTGACTTTGCTGCTTTTCATAGTTTTGTGTTAGCATGCTTAACTGAGGACGTGGATTGAAATATATGTATATATTTGAATGAGCATTTAATACCAGTATGCCTTGTCGTCATAGATTAACTGAAAAGTATATTTCTGCAAGAAATAAATTTATTATTTTATTTATTCAATTTTATTATTTTTTTTTGTTTAATTTTATTTATTTTGTTTTATTTTAATTTATATACTTTGATTTTATTTTATTT